GTATACTGTACTTCCAAATGTGTGCGATAACACTGTAAGTGCTGTGATATGCGTATTCATTAATAATTTTCTAATATATAAACTTCTTACTCGTTTTTTGCATTCTAATTCTACTTAATGTGACGATGGTTCAGTGCACGGTATTGCTCGAACCCTCATTCTTGTACCCGTGTTACTATATGTTGTAATTCGTTGACTTTTTAACTAGTGTTTGATCCTTTGTTACTCACCGAATTCGTGTCTTCCACTCTACGAGCTCCAGGCGATGATTACAGAAGATCTAGCCTGTCACGAGAACGAATCTGAGGAAAAGTTCCCAGCGGCCAATTCACTAATTGCTTTCCATGCGTGGACCGAAAATTTGGCTGAATTCAGCCCCTTCTTATCGATGTAGCCACTGGTGCTTCTGCAGGTGATATTCATAGAACAACCATTTCTCATCAGCAGTAGCGCGTTGTTCAGCCACCGCGTAGGGATGGAATAGGGTAGAAGATGTTGACAGAACTCGTGTTGCACTCTTGTGATTACTTCTCGTTCATGGGGATTTCTTTGTCCAAGCCTCTACAATTTTCCAAAGGAGGACAGCCTTCTATCAAACGCGCACGTGAAAGCTCTAAGCGTGGCGATTCTCAGCAGAATAACTCGTGCGGTTGTCTTCAATAGGAGAGTACAGCTGGTCCAAATGGGACACCGATTGTCTTCGTGGATCAGGATTCTCTCAAGGCTGTTTTCTATAGAGCGAAGCAGCCCATTCTGATACCGCAGGGTGAAAGATAAGGAGCTGTATCGCAAAGCAAATATAACTCCTAGCTTCGACCGGTTTGTGGCTCAGTAGAAATTTGTGATCAAATCTGATGAATATGGCTCTCTTCTTTTCCCATTAAAGCTCAAAGAAAACAGGTAGGACGAGCATAATTCTTCCACATAGGTTAATTCATGTGGCATTCCTCGCAGACTACTCGATTACATTAGAAATCGCTATGTGAACTGCTGGCTTGAGGTGTAAAAAAAGGCACGAACTTATGAGAGAACCTAATATCCCTACTACATATACCAGTTTAGCTCCACGCAACAGCGCGCAGCACAACGACTCGTTAGAATGGACAACCATTTTATGCAAAGTTGATCAGGAAACTAGGTTCTTGTTGGATGTATGAGTCCATGTACAAATATTATACAGGGTGGCGAAAAATGACGTGCGCCAAGGAATCTATCCAGACTTTATTTTTTGTTCATAGACAGAGAAGGACAACACTGTTGTGATTCTGCTTCCAGAGCACCAGAGCTTTCTTGAAGACCTCTTCATGATATATCTTCGCATTGATTTCCATGATTTTATTGTGATAAATCGTCAATGGAGGAGTCGCCCAAGCAGCTGCATACTGCCTTCCAAACATCAAACTTCCAGCGAATGGGATTTCGCAGGTATTTCCCAATTAAAAATGTTCCCAAGGGTGGAGCAAAAAAGTTGATGGTAATTTAGGGGTTTTAAGCTGCTTCAATGGGAAAATTTTTTGTCGAACCAGACGATTCTCAGCTCCACCGCACCATCGTCTCGATATTGAAACTAATCAGATCTATTCAAAACTGACAGCGACCACTTCGATCCATTTTTATATTTATTGAATGTTAGAGTTTGTTGTTTTATAAAATCAATTTTCCTTCAAAATTTTGTGGACCAAAAATGGAGTTTACAATACCGCTACTAATTTTTGTTCAATCGACGGTTTGCGACGGTCGGAAACCGTCGCAAACCGTCGGCTCGCCATAACTCTTTAAAAAATGGTTCGCTCGACCTGCAGTTTATACCATCTGATAGCTCTGCTCGAGATCTACAAGATGGTTAAATTCAATTTCTGAAAGAGCTCCATCTAGGATTGCGCCATGCACTCGACCTCCATCCCGAGAAGTAATGAATATACTTTGTATGTGATGCGCATATAAGTCCTCCTATGCAGCCTGATCATCCCACAGAAACATGGATCTCAACACCCTCAGAATACGCCACGTACCCAACCGGTCCACCATATGGTGAGATTGAATGAATGTTTTTTTTCGAATTTCACGATCTTTAATTCGTTCTAGAGCGCTAATTGGCTAACCGTGCGCTGATCAACCCATTCTTCCACTCCAAATGAGAATCTTCGAACAGTTTCCAGCAGTAGTAGTAGACCTATTATGTGACATTCCCCACATTTAGAGGAGATGATTTGCGGAAACCTGAGAAGATAGCCAGGAATCTCTCCACAGACGTAGACTCCAGTTACTTCTCTGTAAGATTGATGTAGAATATTTGGTCACGGGTAAGCGCTCCGTCCGTGGTGTGGCCCCAAACATCACTCTCCGTCATGCCCTAAAATGAAAATCAGAGTTTTTGCTCTTCCAGATGACTCTACAGAGTCTTCCTTCCGTAGTGCGACCCCAAACATCACACCTCGTCATGCCCTTGCGATATGATCAGATTTTTTTTGGTTCTCCAGATGAACATAGAAGACTGAGATGTGCACCATTCAATTCCCCATAAAATACTGTCGAACGGTATACAACTCACTTTTTGGAGAACATCTAGTTTACCTGCCACTAGATCCATTTTGTGACATTTCGCAATTTTCGAAGGGATGTTTTGAGGAAATTCGAGAAGGGAGGGACGAACTCTCTTCCCTATCGTAGAGTAAGTTTACTTGTATGTTGGAAAAAGATGATACACTCGGGCTTGAGCGAGTGTTTCTTCCCTGGTGTGGCCTCAAACATCGCTCTCCGTCATGCCCTGAAATAAAAACCAGATTTTTTGGTCTTCCAGGTGGCTCTACGGAGCTGTGGTGTACACCATTCGATTCTCCATGCAAAATGCTATCGAACGATATACATCTCAGTTCCCACTTGAAACTTTCGTTTTTCACCGTTTTCGGCCTTTTCCTTATCGCCGATCGCCTTCCTCAGCCCTGGCCACCCACGTGCTATTCACGTGCGCGGAGCGTGAGAGCTCACGTGACAGCCGATGGCCTTTCTCGGTAGCTGGCGGGCAGCCCGATCGATACACCGCTATGCGTGTCGAAAGTGCGTGGGAAAGTCACCACGCACCGCGCACGTGAATAGCACGTGGGTGGCCAGGGCTGATCGGCGTAATGTATAACTTCGTATAATGTATGCACATACTTTTCGTGGTGCGAACCCTTCCATTATCTCTGGACGTCCCACTCTGAATTTTTGTTCTTCCTGGTGACTATATCCTCACAATATAACTGCCAAAAAACTTACAAAGACAACAAACAGCCTGTGAGAACCCCTTCAATCGCGCGCCACTTATGAAAGCGCACGCTGCCATACGTACGCAGGAAGGCCGTGCTTGACTAAACAGACTTGACACAAGTATTGCACTGCCGCGATGCACGCGCGGCCACATGAGCTCGCCAGCGCAAAAACTGCTCGGTACGCAATGTATTAGCGGCAGAGCCTGGCGCTTCAAAGGCTGTACAGTTTTAACGAGCCCTTTCGTGTCATGCACGTGGCAGTGTGCGGGGCTAAAGTGATACTTGATAACTCACCTATAGAAAGTCGACAGGAGTGTGGCCGATATCGCGCTGGAGTAGTGCACCCGTAAACGCGGTTTCTAACTTAAATTCTGCCCTCGTCAGATTATATATAGCTGATTCAAAATTTGCCACAGGCTCAAGGACAACATTCACGACAGTCTGATGAATAGTGATAAGGTGCCAAAATTATCTATCGCTATCGTGCAGGAAGTGCGCCTCGCGGCGTCGACGCATTGAATGAATCAGTCAAAGCGTTTGAACGGAAAATAGAAACAAAACGATGGATAAAGTAGGAATCAGTACAAAAGAGATGTATTTCCGGGTAAGACCAAAGACATTCGTGGCAGATGTGCAGCCGGAATTTGGACGCGCAACAGTTCTTCCTATTTTTCGAGTTGTGTACCAGGTAATTGTGGTAAGTGTAATTTTTTTGCTCTTTTAGTCTAATTCTGAATGATTGGTTTGAAACCAGCGATTTATGTGTGAAATAGATTCATCTGGTGGACGAGTTGATGAGTTGTTCTCTAAAGGAATCTTTTTCGAAAAACCGTGATTCTATTTCGCCCACAATTCGCTGGCTTGAGACAAATCGTAAGAACGAAAGACAAAAAAATTGCATTTGTTTTGGTAAAAAAAATTCGAAAAACCGAAAGGGCTGCTACGCGTTCAAAGTACCGCCGGACATCTGTCACAAATGCTGGCGACGGGAATGCTTCCACTTGGTTCTTGGAGTGCCTTCACTAGAAACTCTTTCTGGCCTTTGACTTATTGCATTCACATCTCACACTTCTACTGCATCCTATTCTATCGATCGATTTGTCTCTACTCTCCCAAAATCGACGCCTTTAACCGGATTTTACGTTGCGTCGCCTGATAGTCCGCCTTGGGGTGGAATATTTTTGCATGCTCCGGCTCTGGCTCTCGCGCGGCACACTCTATCTCCATTGTCCAAGAGTAATATTTTTTGTCTAGCTGTTGCTATGGTAGTTGACTTTAAAATAGACTTTTGAGATGCCTATTGAAATTGGAAATGCTGGCGCGAGCCTGACGCAATTGATGGCGAGTTGATCTTGCAAAATGCCAAACAGCAAAGTTGTAAGCGTGAAGGTCATATGATATATATTCTATCGATTTGGAGTGGCGTTCTCACTAGCGCTATCCGCTTATTGAAGACAGAACACTGAATGTTTTAGACGTGCTCAATTCTGTTCGCTACCGTTTAATGTTATTAGCCATCTCTCCGTTTTCTCTTTCGTACAAAGGAATGCTCATAACCTGGTGCACTAAGGTAGATTTAGTTTCGTTTACCGATATGTGTTACTAAAGCCCCGATTGGGAAGTGTTAGCGCACGTAAGCGTGCATCGAATAAATAAATAAATAGAAAAATATGGAATTCAAGAAAGATTGAAGGAGCAAAAAATTTCATAGGTGCTCTCGAGATAATTCGTTTCACACAAACTAACTAGGCAACTGCTTCCTTCAGGATGATCTGTTGACACTCCTTCGTTAGCATATCGAAATTGCTCACAAACCTTCAATATATCCATAAGCGTCGCGTGAATATCGAAATTTGTCATCAGCTCCAGCGTCTTCTGCCTCAGATGTCGGTGCAGTGAAGTATTACGGTAAGCAGAAGGGATAGTTACCATAAGGAAAGGGTTGAGGTTTTCATACTGACCGAGCCTGAGATTGCCTATCTGAACAGAAATATGGTGACGCTGAGCCTAAGAATGAAACCAAATCAAAGGAAGGTCCAAGCTAGAGTCAGTACCCTCACTCAAATATTGATAATGGATTTCGGGTTTTTGCATGTTTTTGTTGAGGCCAAATGAAGTAATCGCACGTGGCGTGTACCCCCTGGTTAAGGGGGTGGTGAACCTGACGAGGCACTGCTCTTCCACTGCGTCATTCGTTCTTTCTTAATATTGTGCTGTCATTCTTTTGAATTTCTTTCAAATTTCAAATTTCAAAAAATTTTCTTTTTGGTCCAACGGCGTGGCTCTCGTGAGGGCGCTTTATACTTGGCGCAGCAAAACACATCAAAATATCGCAGAAGATTTCAAAGGAATTCTTTTTCAAACTGTTTCTTGCTTTTTGAAACTTTTGAATTTTTTTGGAATTTTTGAATTTTGTGAACTTTTGGGATTCTTTTGAAATTAAATTTGTGCCTCTCTGTGTTATACAATATCATCGTTCTTTGTTGTGCTATCTTATCCGTCCAGTCATTACTGCTGTTGTGCCGACATTTTTGAAATTCATAATGAATAGCACGCTACGATCACGCAGCTGCCCCACGTGAGGACGGGGTGCTCCGGGTTGTGCTGTATTTCTGGTGTAGTGAACAGCGTACGAATTCGCGCAGATTTGACGATAAAATGGCCGCCCAATGAATTGAAGGCAGAGGTAAACGAAGGTTCAGTGATGAAGAAAAACCAAGAAAAACAGCCCAGAACCCAAGGTGCGACGGACGAGCGATTGGCAAGCGACGGACGAACGATTTAGCGACTAGAAGTACTATTCAAAAAGGAGCTGTTCATAAAGCTCTTCTTCCAAATCATTGAACAATGCTAAGAAAAGTTCCTTACCAGTTACGCTAGGTATTCCACACCGTAGAGGAACGAAAAGCTCGGTGGGGCTTGGCGAGATTTGATCCAGGATTAGTGCCCTAAGCCGGGAAGCGGCGCCGTTCGCCACAAAACCACCCTCCGCGACTCATGTATTAACTGCAAACCCCCTCGCATGATAGGTCATCAGCACTCTTTCATGATAATTTACTCATTGAAAAAAACTTTAGTGAGTAGGGTGATATTTCATAGAAGCTATGCAGAAGGCGAAAAGTGAAGAAATCTCACACCGTCTCTTCGCGGTCCATGATCACCCATGAAGAAGAGGAAGGAGCGGTCGATGATGGCACGATTCCTCTGGAAAAACCTGAGGAAATGTTCGTCAGCGTGGTATAGATCTTTCAGCGTTTCGTGCGCCAGTGTCGTCGGCCATATTTGGA